ACAGCCACTCACAAACTCAATGACTCATTGTAATGACAATTGGAAAACTTAATTCCACATTGTGGGCAGTTGAGAGATGATTATTGCTTATTTTGGAGACAGATTCTAAGATTTTCTTTATTGATGCTACTTCATAATCTACTTGAGTGAAGAGTGGGAGCTGGCTCAGGTCAAATTGCACAGCAATTCAAATGAAAGTGAAATAAAATTGGGACTTATTTGTTGAGCTCTGATGACGTCCAAAAATTCACTGCCCATGGAGTCAATGCTAACTCATAGTGAATCGACAGGGCAGACTAACTCTTTACAAGAGTAGAAAGCCCCCTTGTTTTCACGACTTCGTGGGTTACAACAAGGGCTGCTAACTGTAAGGTCAAAAGTTCCAACCCACCAGTTGCTTGAAAGGAGAAAGATGAGGCTTTCTTCTCCCATGAAGATTTGCAGCTTTGGAAACCAAAAGGATTGCTATGAATTGCAAGTGACTGAATGGCAAGTGGGTTTTTTGTTGTTGATAAGTACTGTCCAATCTGTACTGACACATAACAACTCTATACTCAACAGAACAAAATACTGCCCAATGCTGTGCCACCCTCACAATGATCATTTGCTTTCTTTATGCATGATGTTTTTAAATGTCATTCTACAACTTCTCTGGTTCAACCAGCAGTTGAACCATTGGTTCTCAACCTTCCTAATGCCATGACCCTTTGATATAGTTCCTCAAGTTGTGGTGAACCCGCAACCATAAAATTATTTTTGTTGCTATTTCATGACTGTAATTTTGCTACTGTTATGAATCAGGTGAACCTGTGAAAGGGTCGTTCAACCTCCAAAGGGGTTTCAACCTACTGGTTGAGAACCGCTGCATTAGAGAATCTAAATGTATCTATATTTCAGAATATGTATCACCACCTCTCTCTTTGAACACACACTGTAATTAACATCAGTGATAACTATTACTTTTGGATGCCTGAAATCATACATGTGGTGTTTAAATTTAATTTCAGTAGTCTTTTCTTATGACAAAAATTTGCCTTTTAAATTGTAACAGTTTGCTAGTGTATATGACTGATATGTTATATCTATCTAAATTTTAGTTTACTTTATAAAAGCTGTGTTATTTGAAAGTTGAGGAATAAAGTGCACTGGACTCAAGCCATGGCATTTTCAGTCGCCTCATCTGCATGTGAAAGTTGAACATTGAATAAGGTAGGTCAGAGGCGAGTTGATGCATTGGAATCATGGTGCCGGTGAAGAATCTTGGGAGCACCACAGACTGCAAAGAGAATGAAATCTGCTTTGGAAGAAGTCTAGCCAGGACATTTCTTATATGTTAGCATGATGAATCTTTGTCTCGCATAGTTTGGACAGGTTATCAGCAGGGATCAGTCCCTGAAAAAAGACCTACTGTGTGGTAAAGTAAAGGGCAGTGAAAGAGAAAAATCCTCAAGGAGATGGTTTAGCATAGTGCCTGCAACAATGGGCTCAAACATAGCAACTGTGCTAACAATCCAGGGCTGAGTCAATTGCCCCTGACAACAACTTTGGAAGTACTGGTAAATCTAAATAGTTACTAGACATGCTGGCAATTATCAGGAAAAGATGTTTTAAATTGTATACGTTTCGTTCCTATTGATGTTATTGAGTCAACTCTGCCCTGGATTGGGTCCATGCACCAGGAAAGAAGCACCCCTCTGCCCTGTGCCACCCGCACAATTGATATGTTTGATCCCTTTGTTAAAGGGATCATCTAGGCTCTCCCACATTTTCACTGGCCCTCTACTTGGCAAAGCGTGGTGTGCTTTTCCTGGGCCTGCTTCTTCCTGATAGCCGCACACGTGTGTGACAATGGCTCCCCAAGCCTACTTCAGGCTGCACGTGTCCTCCAAGACCGATGGTTTGTTCTTCCGGCAGTTGGTGGTGCTGTGGTGAATTTTGTTAATCTTAGGAGCCCTGCTGGTGTCGTATTTCCTTGTTGGGCAACAGTCTGCATGGTTGGCAGTTGGAAGTCACCAGCAGCCCCGGGGGAGAAAGTTTGGGCTTTCCACTCAGTTCAACTGTTAATCTCAGAACCCCTGGGAGAGGGCGATGCATCAGCATTGACTTGATAGCAGGGAGGTTAGTTTGCTTTTCTATGGATTTAGTAATATGGAATTACATCTTTATTCATCCGCCTATATTTACAGTGCTAAACATAAGTGGTAAACTAATATTGAAAACAAGTGTTTGACTGTACAGAGGGGAAAAAGGCTCTTAGCAATGAACTGAAGATTTGACATTTAACTATGGGAAGTTATATAGTGGGAGATGTGTTGAATTCCAGGTGTGGCATGTCATCTCATTGATTACAATTGCCTCCCAGGGCCTCATAATTCAGAATATGCTACAGGGAGGAAACATCTGGAAAAAGGATGTTTGCAAAGGAAAACCCCTCTGGCAGGGTACTTTCCCCCAGAACTCATCACCTGTTGGCAGCAGATGTTGTGTATAAAGAGGGCCAATGAAGTTCTTAGAACGTATCGTGGCTCATAGAGACAAAAACAGGTGCTGTTCTGCTGAATACTCAAAGCCACTACACATTCAGTTCAAGACTTCAAATTTGTACTGAGTATTGCAGCAGAAATAGTGCTGGACCCATAGAGGACACGAAGATGAAAAATGCATAATTATTTTCTCAAGAAATTTAATTTCAAAAGAGAAAAAACATGTAAATAATTGAAAGAAAAACAAATATTTACCATATTTTCATCCCTCATCTTATATAACAAGCTTCCAATGAATAACTCCAGGTTTAAAGCTAGAAAGACTAATTTTGCTTTGTTTCTTTTGAGGATTCTATCTAGGATAGGTTAGGTGGTTCCGTTCAGTGTTATGATAGGGAAAAAGTCGAAATAACCTTAATGGATGGTTATGGAGATGGAGGTACAGAGAATTGGTTTCGTGAGTTTCTGCTCACCCTTGTCAGCTCTGCCTCTCGAAAAAGGTGTGGTCCCCTTGCCAGTTCGCGGATGGTTTCAAGTAGTGTCAAGCTGAAGGAGAACCGGGGCGAAGAAAGGTTTTTACTGGGGGGGAAAGGAGCAACAAAGAAAGGACACATCTCAAATGTTTCCAGATCCTGCTGCGTGCTTTCGTAACTGTTCCCAGGTTCCTATTGGTGTGTACACAGTTGTACAACAATTAGAAGCGATTACCTAGCTCACCATTCTAAATAACCACCTCATTTATTTTAAATTGAGCCATTTAATTTCTATGGAAGTTAAGAAGTACACTGGGTGGCTATGATCAGTTTTTAAAATATTTATGCCTAGAACATAATAAGAAGCCAATATGTTATTAATAATCAAAATGTAAATTGTTTAATATGCAGGTGGTAATCATTATAACATCATTACCATCATCCTCATCATCTTTATGAATACCATCATCATTATCACACTATGAATAAAAACAAGGAAGTCTAAAGATTCTAAACGCATACTGAATCTCAAGAAAAGCCACCTCCCTAGAGGGCAAACTTTACAATCATGTTCATTATGAAGTGCTGTGTATCAGAAGCTAGATCAAATAATTCGGCCAGCTTTTCCAAGAACAGAATTTGAAAGCAGATTTAAAGGTTGTGTAGGTGTAAAGTGCTTTTAGCATTAACATATCAAATTGCTTACTTATTGAATTTGTCTTTATTGTGGTTTGGGCAAAAGTTTACCGAGAAAATTTGTTTTCCATTCAATATTTAATGCACACTTTCTTCCATAGTATTAATTATAATTCCCTCCATATACCAGTCCTCTCCCCTTTCTCCGTGGCTCCCCTGATTCCTTCATGCTTCTGTTCTGTCTTTCTTGACCACTTAACTCAGCATCTGGGTAAATGCTATCCATCAGTTCTCTTGTGAGTGTGTTCAATGGATCAGGAGCTTTGAAAAAACAGAATGCATTTTTTTATTTAAGATCTCTAGTGTAGCTATAGGGATTTTACTATTTTCCTATTCCGTGTTCGTATATTGACTGTGTGGTTGAGATAGATGACCTTTTGAAGATTTAAGGAGTGCAGAGTTGGTGTTGAACTGTTAACCACAAGGCTGGCGATACAAATCCACCAGCTGCTTCACAGGAGAAATATGGGGTTATGTACGGTTACAACCTTGTGAATCCTGTGAATCAGAATTAATTTGATATCAAAGACTTTGTTTTTGTTTTGTTTTGTTTGCAGAGAAAAGAAAATCTTATACCCAGAATTTAATTTAGGTTTATTTTTCCTAAATGTCTTTTCAAAAAATACATTCCATGACCATGGTTTCACGAAATGTTCTCTAAGCGCTTTCCTAGTGTAAGCTCACATCAGGGAGAACACTATAGGCTACTGCGTTTCCCTCCAGCAGTGTTTTCCAGTGCAAAAGTGGATCACGGTGGCTCCGAGGAGTCCTGAAGTAAAGAGATCTGCTTTTATCTGCATTTTCTAGTCATTACTGCAAAGAAAACTCTTCCTGAACACATCTTTTACAGCCCTTAGAATCTATGTTCTTTGTGACCTAAACATCAAAAAGAGTCTGGCGCTGTTCAAAATGCTTTTGTGTTTCTGATAGCCCACCTCCAAAGCTTGCGCACCGTGTCTCTCAGCTCTTGAACTAGCACCCTAGTCTCTTAAGTTTTGTCTAGATTTTATTTTTATTTAATTATTTCAACAGAAAAAAAGGATCACTGCAGTAAAGGTACATGGGTGGAATAGTCAAGTGATGTTTTGGTTTACTTGTTGCAAGCTTAACACTAACAATTTAAGTAATATACAATTGACTTCGTCATTTAACATTTCATTTACCTTAAATGAGTCATTTCTAAAAATCAAAGGGAAAATACACTCAGAGGACCGGAGGGTCTGGAGAGTCATCTTGGAGGTGATGTCCATAGGTCATACATGCATTCCATTGCCATGGCTTAATTGTATCAGATGCAGTTCAACAAGAGTTTATCTTTTTCTGACCACTCCATGTTTTGCCATTTCAGTTCCTCCGAAGATATATGACATCTCAAGTGATATGACCATCAATGAAGGAACCAATGTCACTCTTACTTGTTTGGCTACTGGGAAACCAGAGCCTTCCATTTCTTGGCGGCACATCTCCCCATCAGGTAAAGTAGGACCGTCCGCGTGTCGGATGAGTTGTTCGTTGTTTTCTCGTCTCTCTAGTTAATGCGAATTTAGATAGGCTTTCTAGTTTATTCCTCTGGTTTCTAACTCTACTGTGAGATCTGCTAGTTTTATTTATTTAGAGAAAAAGCTACTTTATGGAAAGCAAAGAGAATCACTTTCTTGTCGGTACAAAAGCACTGAAAACATGGCAGTGGTTCCCACAGGGTGTAAGTGAAACTGACTCAGGACCAGCAGTTAGCACACGGGTGCACTGATGAATCAGTTCAAGAAATCCTTGTGTAAATCTCTTACCCTTAGTTGCCCTCGGCTAGTGTCCTATTTCCAAAAACCAAGTAGGTTTATGAGGAAGCAATTTATTATATCTTTGGTACCCTTTTCATAAAGTTAATAGAGGAGTATTTTTATATCTTTTATTTTTTAACAACTAAGAACAGTATGTATAGCCACAAAGGGTGAATGATCATTTTCTCTCAGATTCCAGAATTGAAACTGTGTCTTCGGATTCTTAGGGGAAAATTTTTCACCTTTTTCATACTGGTTCAAGCAGAAAACAATAGACAAAAGGCTGAAATTGAAACACCACCAAAAGAAAAATCTTTATTTAAACATGGGTAAGAGATTTAGTCAACCAGCAATCACAAGTTAACAATTAAGCATGACATAATAAAGAATAAAAATATACAGATTATAGGGTGTCCGAGTCTCATTTAAAATTGAAGTTCAGAATAAAAAATCTGGGGGTTGGGCCTAAGCTTTATCTGATGACAGAACTAAAACCCCCAAATTTAAGTAGCTTGCACAAAACCACAGAGTTAGCTGGATGGAAGGGATAGATGTGTGCATGGCTCCTCGGTGCATCTGTGACCGTGTACAGCCTCCCAAAGAGAGTAAATTGATCTACAGAAGTCGAGGGTAATCCGCATGAAGAGTGATCTGTTTTCACAGCCAGACCTCTGACAGATGCAGCAACTTGTATAGAACTTAAATGTGTGCATGATACTCATATGAGTTTGAGCTTATCTTAGAAAGAAAAGTGATTCTTTTCACAAATAACACCATGCTTAGTTTCAGATAAATATATTTTTATTGTATTTGTTTTCTATTTTGGTGGAAATAGCTTCACCAAGGATAGTATGATGGCATTTCCTTTAAAAAACAAGCAAACAGAAAAACACATTTTACATAGGCATAGATGTTCAAATGACACATTTATTTTATCTACTAATGCTTCCTTTAATATCACTTACCCTTAAGTGTCTTTCAATTTCCTCATTTATGCTGTGTGTCTAATGAGACTTAGCCCATCATATGCTCACTATTACTATTGATATGAGAAAAAATCAATAGAACAGCAGCATACACTTATATAATATGCGTTATGGCCCCTATAATATTTTGGGAGCATAAGTGTGCCTCTTGACTGCCAACATTTCACTCTCTAGAGCTGCTACAAGAATCTGTGCACTGGATGTCTGCGCCGAAGGCCCCCAGGGGGTCAGCGAAACACACCCAGGACTCGCAGTTAGGATACGTGTGCTCGGATTAATCAGTTCAGCCAGTCCTTGTGCAAATCTCTTAGCCTTGGTTATTTTCAGTTGGTTTCCTATTTTCCAAAATGAAAAAGATAATAATAATCCTGGACTATTGTGAGACTGCTATAAAATAATATGCATAATGTGCTTTAAATATATAAATTGATATGCAAATATAAAGCTGATTCTTAATCATTTTTCAGGGACTTAAATCTGATATGGCAGTCTCATTGTTATAAAATAAGAAATGAAGCACATAATCTTTATCTCCATATAATTTAGGATGAATATTTTAGCCTTAAGTCTCATGCTTTGTAGTCCTTGCAATTATGAATATTCTTTTTAAGTGTTTGGGTATACCTTATGAATGTTGGTTAGTGAAATTATTACAGTAATGATAATAGATAACATTATAAACTGAAGACATATTGGATTTATAAGTTCAACTACATACAGATGCATTTGACTGGTACTGCCACACCAATAAAATAAATGAATTTAACATCACTATTCACCAGTTAAATTCCAATTGAATAGCTAGACTTGATTGGGTTAAAGTTTGTAATAAAAGTTTTCAACAATTTTATATTTTAATGTATTGATTATTTACATTTAAATGGACAGTACTTTGAAGTTTCGGTGTTGAGTAACAGATCTGATTATTCTATTTACTTTATTCAAGATATATACATATATACACATATTTTATATATATATATATTTAAAACGGTCAGTTTAATGCATTTCCCTGTCTTTTTCCTATAAAATAATGCAATCTTAACTGCTCTTCCTTTTTTGCTCTGACTTAAAAAAAATGTATCTCAAAACAGTAGGCAGATTATGAATAACGTTGAGTGCTATTATAAGCAGACACACATACACTGCATGCCTGTAGGAAAAGCAAGGCTTGTGTTTGTTCCTGTATGATTTGTTTAGATTATTTTCTTCTCACCTGTACCCTTGGTAATTCTCGCTGACTCATTCATGATTAAATGTACTTTTCAAAACAGGATGTTCACAAGGGTGAAAGCTCCACAGAGCTTCTTTCTAATATTCTGCAGAATGAGTCTGTGTTCAACCACATCACAAATATCATCAGAGACAATTATTGTTGCTAGTCCTTTTGATAATTCAAACAACTCAGTGCATTTTCTTCCCAAAAGACATATTTCCAAAGAAAATTCTGCATAAATTGCTTTCCGGAGAGTTCACGTACTTACTTTATTTTTAGATATGTATTTTTATTTTATACTCGGTAAACTATTTTAAATTTATAAAACATGTTGGAGAAATAATACAAAAGAAGTAAAGCAACTCTATATTTTACTCAGCTTTTCTAAAAATCACATTATTGCACTTTTTGCTTCATCATTTGCACTGTGTGTGTATAGCATATAGGGGCATGTGTGGGTAGTTGTATTTTTAATTGAATTGTTTGGCAGCATAGGCCTGGCCTTTCATCCTTAGTTACTTTGATGTGGATTTCTAAATAATGAGGACTTCCTGTTACAGACCACAGTGTAGTTTTCAACGAAAGTACACTTAACAATTTTCGTATTTTTATCAAATTAACTATCTGTATTCCAGTTTTCTCAACTGACCCAATGCTCTTGTTCTTTTTGTTAGTTGCTATAGAGACAGTGCAGACTCGTAGCAACGCTAGGTACAATAGAACAAACAATGCCCTATTCTGTGCCATCCTCCAATTGTTCTTATGCGTCAGCCCATTGAGGCCGTCACTACGTCAGTCCACCTCTTTGAGAGCCTTCCTCTTTTTCTCTGCCCTGCTACTTGGCCAGGTGTGATGCCCTTCTCTAGTGTGTGGTCTCTCCTGACAGCATGTTCGAGGTACAGGAGATGAAGTCTCACATTCTTGCCTTTAAAAGGACAAACTGATCTGTCTTTAAAGAATTCCAGCCAGAGTTCTCCTTAGAAGCAAAAATGGCAAGGCTTCTTCTTAGGTAATTTGGACATGTTGTCAGGAAAGACCAGTCCTTGGTGAAGAACATACTGGTTGCTAAAGCAGAAGGATGGCACCAAAAGAGGAAGGCTCTCAAAAGAAAGATAGACACAGTGGTTGCAACAAGTAGCTCAGTCACAGGAACAATTAAGAGGACTCTGCAGTGTTCACTTCTGTTGTGCACGGGGCTGCTATGGGTTGGAGCAGACTCCGTGTAAACTAGCCCCTAAGGAGCATTCTGGCTCTATTTCTTACAAAACAGATTTGCTTGTCCTTTTGGCAATCCAAGGCAATCCTTTGGCAATCCAATATTCTTCACCAGCACCACAATCCAAATACATTGATTCTTTTTGGTTTTCGTTATTCAATATCCATCTTTCATATGCACTGGAGGTCATTGGAAATACTGTGGTTTGGGTCAGGCACAACTCAGTCCTCAAAGTAACATTCTTGCTTTCCAACACTTTAAAGAGGTCTAGTGAGCAAATTTACCCAAAGCAGCACATCTTTTGATCTCTTGACTACTGCTTCTGTTAGCATTGATTGTGGCTCTAAGCAAGATGAAATCCTTAACAAATTCAATTCTCCATCTATCGTGATGTCAATTACTGGTCCAGTTGTGAGAATTTCAGTTTTCTTTACCCTGAGTTGTAAGCCATACTGAAGGCTGCAATCCTCGATCTTCATCAGCAAGTGCTTCAGGTCCTCCTCATTTCCAGGAGGCAAGGTTGTGTCATCGCTCATCACAGGTCCTGATGCCGCATGTTTCTTCATATAATCCACCTTCTCAGATGATTTGCTCCAAATACAGACTGAATAAGTATTGTGAGAAAATGCATCCCTGATGCACACCTTTCTTGTTTTTGGCTCTGTTTGCCCAACAGCATCTGGAACCATGTATAGTTCCCATGTAAGCACTGAGTTGTGTCCTGGGATTCTTATTCTTCTCAAGGTTCTCCATCATTTGTTATGGTCCAGTCCAGTGCTTTACTGTGTCTTTTAAAAGGACCCAATATTTCCCTTTAGAACATTTTTTTCACCAATAAAATATTTAGCCCGTGATAAGGTATTACATTAGGTTGCCAGGCTATTTGAGTTTCTTTAAGAGAACACAGTTCTTTTCCTGAGCCTTTTTTGTCATTACTAATTTTTGTCATTTTTTGAAGAATTCATGCCTCCTCACCTCAAATTTAAATAGAATATTTCTCTTTTTTGAACCTAAATAAATGACACTAAGTCCTAGTAGCATAGTGGTTATGTATTGGGCTACAATCTACAAGACCAGCAGTTGGAAACCACCTACAGCTCCTTGGGGGAAAGCTGAGACTTTCTATTTCCATAGAGTCACGGTCGTGGAAACCAGCAGGGCAGTTCTAGCCAGTACGGTCTGGGAGCTCAAGCTGGAGCCAACGTGATGGTTTTTGAGTATGTCCTCTGGGAACAGCATTGGCAGCAACTGCAAGGATTAGTGTTATTATCCTATAGG